CACAGTGCAATCTATGAGTTCCCTGACTTTGAGGCTTACAAGGTGGATATGCCTCCATGGGAACAGGTTCCAACTGTTAGGGACCAAGATGATTTGCTTCAGAAATCAGAGATTAAGTTCTTGAATCAGGTTCAAGGCCCTGAGAGCATCGCATTTGACCCTCTGGGGCGTGGTCCTTACACTGGTGTTGCTGATGGTCGGATTGTCTTCTGGGATGGTGAAAACTGAAAAGTGGAACGATTTTTCTCATACTTACACCAATAGGTGAATTTTCCAACTTGTTTCTAATGGAGTTTAGGTTTCCTTTTTGTTGCAGAATTGGCTTATTTTACATAGTTTATCATAGTTGTTGGGGTTTTCTTGGAAATTCTCACCTATTTCAAGCAGTTTTTTCAGCACTTACGGTCAAAATATTTTACCATTTGTAATTTTGAGATCAGATCAGGACTATGTGAGCCAAAGCCATCACCATTGAGTTACCTGCCAAATGAGCATATCTGCGGCCGACCTTAGGTGAATTTTCCAACTTGTTTCTAATGGAGTTTAGGTTTCCTTTTTGTTGCAGAATTGGCTTATTTTACATAGTTTATCATAGTTGTTGGGGTTTTCTTGGAAATTCTCACCTATTTCAAGCAGTTTTTTCAGCACTTACGGTCAAAATATTTTACCATTTGTAATTTTGAGCTCAGATCAGGACTATGTGAGCCAAAGCCATCACCATTGAGTTACCTGCCAAATGAGCATATCTGCGGCCGACCTTTGGGACTCCGATTCGATAAGAAAACTGGTAATTTGTATATTGCCTAGCAACATCACTTGTTACAGAGGCAGATGGGGTGCCCCTCAGGTTTACCAATGACCTTGACATTGATGATGAAGGAAACGTATATTTTACCGATAGCAGCACCAAATACCAAAGAAGGTAGGTTTCTGATCAAAGTTTTTTTCATTCTAAAGTGTGGACAATATTGTTGGTCGTAAAATGCTTGGTGCCTTTGAAAAACTTGTGGATTGTTGAAGCATTTTATTGAACCACAAAGACCTTCAACTGCCACCATAGGCATGGTGGAGGACCATTTTGTTGCATATTTATGCTTATTTTAGTTGAAATTTGAACATGTGAGAGTACAGCGTGCAAATTTCCATTCGCAGCAGAAATGTTGTAATGTGTACACACATGCATACATATGATGTTTATTTTTGTTAATTATGTTCACCTTAAAATTTTATGTCATTAATATACAAGTGTCCACCCTTAGAAATATTTATGGATCTGTCGTCACTGATACTGACATAGTAATATCTTAGGAACTTCGGGCAGATAGTGTTCTCATCAGAGAAAAGTGGGAGGCTTCTGAAGTACAATCCACACACACAGGAAACCACAGTTCTTATGAAAAATCTTCAATTCCCAAATGGTGTATCCTTGAGCAAAGATACTTCTTTTCTTGTATTCTCTGAAGCATGTCCTGGCAGGTGAGATTTTCTTCCAAATTTACAAACTTGTGAGAGTTCATAAAAATCCATTTATCACTCTACTATCATCAAGCAGATTACTCAAATACTGGTTGAAAGGTGAGAAAGCAGGGACTTGGGAGGTGTTCGCCATATTACCAGGATTTCCCGACAGCATCCGAACAAACGAAAACGGTGAATTCTGGGTCGCACTTCACTGTCGTAGATCCATGTACTCTCATATATTAGGATTATACCCAAAACTAAGGAAGTTCATTCTCAAGCCCCCTGTCACAATAAAGGTTCATTACCTGCTTCAGGTGGGGGGTAATTTTCATGCACAAATTGTCAAACACAGCCACCAAGGGAAGCTTTTACGAGTTTTAGAGGATGGTAAAGGGAAGGTCGTGAAAGCAGTTAGCGAAGTCGAAGAGAGAGATAAAAAGCTATGGATAGGAAGTGTTCTAATGCCCTTTATTGCAGTTTACGATTTGGATTGAGTTTGGCAAGCCTTTGGTATTCTCAATGTATTAGTCATTGAAAAGGTGGCATGCTATTTAAGGTTCAAACTCTGCAAACTAAGGTACCGGAGTAAGATTAGTTCTAGAACGTAAAATTATATGACATCCTACTGTGGATGTTATATTATATTTTTTTATTTGTTTGACATAGGTATAAGATTGTATTTTACTGGTAGAATATAAGATTAAATGAATGTATATTTTATTAAATTATCTCTGTAATTTATATTTTTTTAACAATTTAAATTTGTAATATTAAATTAAAAATATTTGCACGAAGATTTATAGAATTATTTTCGTTGTATTATCTAAATTTTGTAAAAATTTTATATTTGACATATTATTAATATATTAAACAATGATTAATTTTTTGCATCAAAATTTTGATTTTATATTACCCTTCGTCTAAGAATTGGTATTGCAACTCATATATATCTCTGATCCAGTTTAGATGTTATGGCTAAATCTAGAATGTCACCTGAACGATGGACCAATTAAAAGCACATATTAGTCCAGAAAGACCATAATAAAGCATATATTACTATTCAAAACAGTATTAATCCAGATTTTACTTCGATTTTCAACTTAAATGTCGTGTATTTAATTCAAACTGATTTTGATTTGTTCCAATTTGATAAATTCGATTTTTTTAAATAAAAACTAATCAAGTTTGGGTCGGATCAGGTCGAATTTTATATAGGAGAGAGGTCGGGTCAATTAGGTTTGAGTGGAGGGTGAAATATTTAACCCGACCCGACCCGAGAGTAATAGTGTTATTTTTTCACATAAATTTATGGATAATTGTTATAATACTCATCTCTCTATAGTTTTTTTTAATTAGGTCCTTATTTTATACTTAGAGTTGGATCAGGTAGAGGAAATATACTCTTCGAGTCAGATGGATGATATATATTTTTCGGGTCGAGTCGATTTCGGGTGTGGGATATGTATTTCAGATCGAATCAGGTTGACCAAAAATCTGATTTAATTCGACCCGTTGCCATCCCTATGTAAACCCACCGAAATGAACTAGGGTGTTGCACTAGCAAGAACCAAACGAGCTCGGTAGTAAATGAATTATTGTTGTTCTTTAAGATCCCGTATTCGAGTATCATGAATGTGAGGGGTGTGAGCGTTCAATATCAAATGGTTAATAGTTCTCTTTAAACAGATATTGTCTTATACTTACACTAGATCAATAAAAAAACCGACTGGAGTGTTATACTATGAATACTAAATACTACTATATATATAACAACAGGGGTTGGTTCAAGTGACAAGCGATTTGATATCGCTTAAGCAATGTCTCGAGTTTGAGTCATTGTGTATGCGGAAAATTCTTGTTGGGAGATTCACCCACCAAAATCAGGTGTGTAACGCATGTTGGCCCGGATTAGTCGATGTGAAGCCTTGGAACCGAAACGCCAATAAAAGAAATACTAGTATATATATATATAATATAATCATGAATTTCATTCCTTTATTTTCATGAAAATTGAGAAGTTGGTTCCTTCACTTTTATTAGTCAAAATTTGGTCATTGCACTTTATGAAAACTAAGAATTTAGTCTATTTGGATAACAACGATAAACCTTGACGTTAAAATACGGACTTGAAAAATTAGCAATTTTTATAAATTTATGCAATAAACAAGGAAAAATAAGTAATGTAACAATTATTTGTAAAAAATTAATTAAAATCAATAGTTCAAGAATCAGAATCATGCGTCCAATAAAAATGATTAAATTTTTTTTATAAATATAAGGATTAATAACACATGATAATTTTTATAATTTAAGATAATTATAAGATAATTTATGTTTAAAAATTTTCTTAGTTATTAACAATACATACAAATCATATATGATTTTATGTTAGGAGCGAACTTCTAAATTTGTAGGAGATAGTAAACTTATAAAATTCTAAAAGACGAAAATAGATTATCACTAAAAAATATAAAAAATATAAAATATATAATAATTTAAAATTTTAAGGGGGTGAATGCCCCTTGTCGCCTCCCTTCGTTCCATCCCTGACAGAAGTAATTATTCGAGCTTAAGTTCTCTAAATAGAATAACATTCTGTTAGAAAATTATTGATTAATCAAATAATATTGATGTTATTTATCCTAAGTAACGTCACTTGATGAATATACCTGTTAATAATAAATCGTGTCACTTGATAAATAGACCTATTTTTTGTTTAAAGTTGCATGGATGCATGCATGCATTCAATCATATCTATTAACTTTTTAAAAATTATTTTCATAAAAGGTCAAGTATTTTCATCAAATGATCTTAACCTTTCAATTTATTTTCTCTTCAATATATATGGACTAGTTGAGACATAACTTAGACATAATTTTGAAATAAGTAAACAACTTAATAATAGGAAAAAACTTAAAAAATTAATTCTAAATTCATTTTTTTATAGAGAAAGACATATTTATATTTGACTGATCATTATTATTGTACTTATTGTTGTGATGGTTTATTGTTATTTATGTCCAATTTTACTCAAAACACTGAAAAAAATTATCTAAAAAATTTGTTTATATATGCTTCAACAAAAATTCTTTTTTCATTTATCCGCCTATACTCGTCCTATTCCATTTTTATGCTTTGTTGTGTGACTGATTATCCTAAAACATTCGAAAGCATTAATATCGTCCTCAAGACAACGCAAGGAGATGGAGATGGGGGACTTCCCACCCACTCATTCGCTCAATCATAACAAAACAACCCTTTACTCTCTCTTCCTTTCCCTTTGATTTCCTTCATCCTTCCTACCCCGTATTTACTGCACTACTCTCTCCCCCCATTACACTAGACTTGTCATATCATGTTTTTGTACACTTTTGAAAATCTGTCTTACAATTAATTCACATAAAAATACAACCAAAATCCAATAATTTCCTTGTTCTTTATCGTCCCACTGTCTTCCCTTTGTTATTACTATTCACCTTTTTATTCTCTTCATCACCTCTTCAACCTTGATCCATTTTATGCTTCTTTCCTTTGTTCTAAGGGAATACTTTAGATTTATGGGAGAAAAGTATTTAAGAAACTAAAAAGAGATGTCAATGGACTTGATATCATCTGAACGTGTTTGGTATGTTCAGTGCAACGTCTGCAACACCATTTTAGCGGTACAGAACTGAATTCAATTACTATACATATTTATCTATCAATTTATGCATTCTTCTTCTTCATGTCTGCCTTTTTTTTGTTAAAAGAAGTTGAATTTGCCCTGGCTGGCTGGCTTATTTCAGTGTTTACCCTTTTTGTTACCCGAAATCGTTTTGGTTCTTTTCTCGAAGATTAAAGTGGGAGAGTTCTCTTTGATTAATTTGGAAAATGCCCTTTTCCTGTAAAAAGAGGGGGGGAAATCCACTTTACCTATCATGGTTCAGGCCAGGATTGATGGGATCGTGAGATTTTTCATGATTTAACTCGGAATTCATATTTTATGAGAAATTTTAGTCTGGTTTTGGCTCAAAGTGTCCAACACATGATCCAGAATTCCCAACTAAAACAAGCACAAGGTGTTGACATATTGGTTGGTGCACAATGAAAGCATCATGGAAGGCCAAAGGCAATTTTAGTGACTGGGAGGAGTAGTAAGTACCCTTTTAAAGCTTGGTCTCGCATGAACAGGCAAATGAAAGGTTGGCCAAATGATTTTAATACACCCTTTGAAAGAGAAACCAAAACACCCAAAGACTTTTTTGTGGTGATAAAAATTCTTTTCCAAGAGAGCTACAGGTAGTAGGTTTGGCTTAGGGTTCTTCCAGGTCAGTTCCAAGTCAGAAGATAGAAGAGTTTCTTTATCTTTATTCAAGATCCTAAGCAGTGCACAAATTAAGTAATCAGTAAATCAATCACCACTCGTGAATTTTATCTTTATCTTTATTCAATGACATGCTTAACCTTTATGGTTTCCGTTCCGGTCACGTTCTTTTCATCTCTCTCTCTCTCTCTTTCTCCCACTCTGGGCTTTTATATATATATATTTATAACAGTGTCCGGCTGAAAAAAGTCATGGGCACCGAATGGAAAGCAGATATCGACAGAATTCCAAAAGTGACCCTTACAGAAACTTGAAAGGATTACTTCATGAATGATGTTTCCTCTTATGCTTCAGACATTATGAAATTGTGTTTGGTATTGGTGGATATGGCAGATTCAGGGACTTTGAAAGGAAAATGTATGGGATCTATTCTAAACAGATATGAGGGTTGGGAGGGCTTTGATTTCTCAATTAGGGTCTGTATTTGTTCTAGCAGATTCAACTCTTTGTATGACCAAAAATATAAAGATTGGGTTGGCTGATGTGTTTAACAAAGCTCAAAAGCTTCAAACATTTTTGCTTGTGATCAGTTATGTCTGTAGTAGTAACCATTAACATTTCCGAAGTGGTAACCTTTTATGTAGGTTAGTATTCCATGCGACAGTGGGTTCAATCTGGTGACTGTTAGATGTGGGCGTTGTGCCAATCTGCTGTCTGCAAATATGGGAAACTCTCTTCAAACAGTTCCCATTCAAGATGCTCAGGTATTTTCAGGTCCTTTTGGCAGCCCCTCCTTTTCTGTGACTTTCTTGTGACTTTCTGAAACACTAAATTCAAAAAAGAAAAAATAATAATAGTCTAGTACAAAAAATGGGATTTTGTTTGGGTAATTGACTTGTTTGTTTTTAGAGGACTTGCAGAAACAGCAGGTAGCCAGTGATGAAGATCATTCAAATAAGGAATGTGGGTCGTCTTCCAAATGCAACAAGTTTTCTGCAGAGCATGAACCAACTAGAATGCCCCCTATTCACCGTTAGTTTCTCTGTCAATCTCATATGATATACATGCTTATGTATCATTCAAATGCATTGAGATAGGTGCCCTTATGTAAATGCTACATGCATAGCCGATACCAAAGGATGTTAATTGCCTGAACCAACGACCAAGGTTTTTTTTAACAACCGGTATCGGTTCTATTGATGAAGGGTCACTCGAAGAACCTTTCACCTATCAGAAACACCTTAGGCAACTCATTTGATCTCTCCTCTCAAATCCTAGCCCCTTCCAAGATGGTGACCTTACACACAAATTCATACCAACGCTATTTGCCTTTCTGGGTTGCTTTGCATGTTGATAGACCATCATTATTGAGTACATCCCCAGGCTGGTGTCCTATACCTATATATACCTGACTATTTTTGTGAAGATTTCACCAGACAAAATAAAAGTCGATTGCCTATAGCTAGAAAAATTCCCACCCATTTCGATTGTATGGTCTAACATATGCCTGCACCATAAAATTATATGCATTTAACAAATGTTTTGTTTGATTGAAGTAGATGTTTAATTAAACTACATGATATAAAATGCAGCACCTGAGAAGAGGCAACGTGTTCCTTCTGCATATAACAGGTTCATTAAGTAAGCTTAACTCAATTCTCATGGTTAACTACTTTGATGATGGATCATAGCCCGTATCTCTCATTCACTTTCCTCTTCTGGGTTCTTACTATTTATAGGGAGGAAATCCAAAGGATCAAGGTTAGTAATCCAGACATCAGCCACAGGGAAGCTTTCAGTACAGCAGCAAAAAATGTAAGCTTTTATATATATATATACATATACATACAGGTTCTGCAAATAGTCACTGCTGCTTTTATCAGTAATCCAATTTTGTTTGATTGAAGATTGATTACAAGTAGATAGATCACTACTGCTTTTATAATGATTTGTCAAAATGATGCATTGGACCTTTTTCAAGCTAGTTTAACTCAGGGCTAGAAAGGCCTAAGAAATAGGCATGGTTTTCATGCATCTTATCCTAATTAATTTGGTTATGGTAGTTCAATCATTAGCTATCTATAGATATTAGGTTATATGTAAAAAGAAAACCCCAAATATCATATGCTTCATTAGGTCAAGTGATAAGTAACGCAATAGTGCTCAAGAAAGATTTTAGGTTCAAATTATTTTTAGATGAAAAAAGAATGCTGTGTTAGAAGATAATGATAAAATGATCGTACAATAAAATAGACATCAAGATTTTTCATGGAAAACATTTTCGAAAAAACTATAAACAAAAAAGAAGAATTTTCATTAATATCAAAAATAGAAGAATATAAGAAAATTCGACTTGTCAACTAACCCTAACCTCTTGTATCTATAAATAGAGATAATTAATTGATTCTTATTTAATAGAAATATGCTGAAACTATATTTTCTACTTTTTAATAAACCCTAATTCCCATGAACGACTTGTCAACTAATCCTAATCCCTTAACATAAAATCTCCGTCTGTCCTTAGTTACCCTTAGTTACGTAAGAAAGTTTTGAATAACCACATAGTTGCAGCGATTCTTTCCCCAACTAATTATGATAGAGTGTAATTAACAGTGCTAGTGTTTTTGCAGTGGGCACATTTTCCTCACATTCACTTTGGTCTAAAGCCGGATGGGGCAAGCAAAACTTGACCAGGGATTTGCAGATCAGGGTCCTCAAAAGTCTAATGGGTACCACTGAAACACAATGCCAAATCTCATCACCATCATCATATATATCATATGTATAATTACTAAATGTGTGCTGATTTTCACATTCTATCCATTACATGCAGTTTCTTTCTACCCTACTGAATGCATTTATATATGTTTAATTAAGATCATATTTTCATTTAAACAAACAATCTCATGGAATAATTATATTATTTGTGTAATCTCTTTTAGTATCAATAATGGTAAAGTCTCAACCTTTTATCCCTGTGCTCTTTTATCTGTTTCTCTTCACTGTATCTACCCTGCAATTTAGGACCACTTAACCAATATTTGACATTTCATTGATTTGCACAAAGGACAATGAGCTTCTCCCACCTACATTTCAAGTGCATGCATGCTTCTGACTCAAGGATGTACTGGGAAGGTGATTCGGAGTAGTCGTTCTCCTGAAAATTTCAAATTATTCCAGTTATGTATTTTTTATTAATAATTTGTTTTTTTCCTTTAATTTATAATTTCACTTCTCTTAACACAAATCTTGCATCTGTTTCTCTAATTTGACTCATTGTTCTTTGTTAAAATATAACACTAGCAAATATTGCAATAGCAAAAATAATTGCAGTTCATTAGTAATTGGTTGTTTTCTTTTTTGGTTTTCACCAAATTTGATGGCACAGAAATCATGCAGCAGTGTTTTATCGCAACACATGCATTAAAAACACCACCTTGGGATTCTCAAACACAAATTTCTACACTTCTTTTAGGTTTGGCCTGCAAAACCCTACAATTATTCTTAAATGGACTAATGTATTGAATTTTGTTCTAATAGATCACGTGAGATTTAATCTAATCATGAGACTATAGCGATATGGAGATTATGAAACTTAAGTTGAATTCGGGGAACAGATATCTTCGGAGATATAACATATATGCTTGTGTCAGTCTGAGGTAATGAAAACCCTAGTATCAACCAATGAAAAACCAAGGTGAATGAAGCACGACCATTGTCCATTGTTGAAGAAATTGGGGGTCTCTTTTGCATGGTGCAATCCCCGATGGAGCACACAGTAGTACACTTGATGCCCACTCAAGCCACCATAAAGTGGGGCCATGAATTCACCACCAAAGTATCAAATTCGTGAATTTTTTAATTAACCGGAGAAAGTACTGGTGGTAATGTGGGGTTTGTCTGTTGGGAAAGAAGCTAACAGTAGAGAATATGTGATGTCAAATCATGAAGTTTGGATTTTGGATGTATATAAATGGTGGGTTTATTGAAACCAATGTTTTTAAAATCGGATCGGACTTTGATCTGGTGAAGGTACTGGTTCACTGATTCAACCGGGTTCAATCGCGGTTCAACCGGATTTTATTTAAAATAATATATATTTTTTTTAATTTTACATAATATTCAAAGCAATATTAATATATATATATATATAACATTTTTTTTAAGTTTACAATATTAAAAGGTATAAAAATATCACAAGTCATAACATATATAAGTTTAAAAAACATAAAATCAAGTGAAACAAAATGATTCAAATCAATTACAACATAATATTTAAGGTAAAATATATTAAATAATAAATATAATTATATAACTATAATAAAAAAATTGGGGCTGAAAAAATCATAACAAACGATGTCGTTTGGTTTAATTTTTTTTTAAAACAATCCCACATGACTAAGAAACATAGAAGAGCATCCCAAAAGTCTAAAGAGTAAAAATATGATATGTGAACAAAACAATCCCACATGACTAAGAAACATAGAAGAGTATCTCAACTTACTTCTATAAATACTAGAGGTAATTTGACATTCAAAATCATGGATCATTTTGGTGAGTACATAGTGAATTATTCTTTCGCTTCAATTGAGCTCGAATTTCATGCTTTAATCGAGCTTCTAATTTTTTTTTGAATTTGAGCATTTTCGAGTTCAAGTTTCAATATTATATTTCGAGTTCGAGTTGAACTTGATATTTTTTAGCTCGTGAGTTTTTTAGTCGAGTTGAGCTTACTTTTAAAGTTTTCGAGTTCGAGTCGAGCTCAGCAGTACTCGGGTTCGACTCGGCTCGTTTAACAAATGACTTTGTTTGGTTTAATTTTTTTTAAAGAAAAAAAGAGAACCGGCGGTTCACACTGGTTTTCAGTCGGTTCACCCCGGTTTTGCCGGTTCTACCGGTTCTGTGCTCATCTAATTTTGGGAGTTAACCGGACCGGACAAGCCACCGGTTCACAGTTGAACCGGCCGGTCCGATCCGATTTTGATAATACTGATTGAAACTCTTTTTTGAAAATGACACTACTAAATGTACCAAGTTAACTCATCTGTTCAACACCCAACTCATCATTTTAGATGATGGACAGGGGAGTTAGGTGTGGGCCTCCACTTGTTTTCTTGTCATATTCTTAACACTTCTCTATCTCATGTTTTGTAATCTCAACATTCGCCCCCACCCAACATTAATTCAAATTTAAATTCAATTTAAAAGTTTAAATTGATTATAATAAATAAAAATATTTTAATAGAAAACTTTAATAATGAAAAAGCTTTAATAAAAAAATCTATATAGATAAAATTTAATATTATTTCAATATACTTTTAAATATTTAAAATATTCATATAGATAAATCATTATTTTAAACTAACTAATAGATTTTATATTTTGAAAAGGAAATATAAAAACTAAATAAAATATTGTATTTCTAAAGTATCATTCTTTAACGTCCAAATTTATATTAAAATTTCTCAATATGTGTAAATAAATATAATATTATTTAAACATCGAAGCTTTTAAAATAATTTGACACAATTGCTGACTTAAAAACATAGAATATTAAATAACATAGAATATAAAATTATATATGTATGTATAATTAAATAAATAAAAAATAACAAAAATTTAAAAAATATTAATTAATATTTAATTATAAAAAAACAAAAGACATAATGATAAAAAAAAATTAATAAAAAAATTGGTGAATTTAATAGATTTACTTGGTATATTTAAACTTACCCTTTTGAAAATTATGTAAATACTAAAGTAGGCCGTCATGTCACAGATAAGGGCAGCTAAGATAAAAGCCATATCTGTTTATATATCTCTGTGGGTATTGAATTCGAGACGGGAAAAGAAAGAACGTAGCTGCTAACTTTTATTGCAAACAGCGGCGGCAGCGGCAGCGGCAGAGAGAGACACATAAACAAAAATAGGTAAACTACACACTTAGTATCTAAACTATTAATTTAATTAAATTTTGGTACCCTAACTTTATTTTTTTTCAAAACCATACCTAATATTTACTTTAAGTAACAAAATTGGTGACGTGATTTTTTACTTTTTCAATGATGATGTGATATTATCATGTGGTAAAATGTCAAAATTTAATTAAATTTTTAACAGCGGAACACCAAAATGAAATATAAACTAAACGTTAATTATAGTTTGATAAAAATAAAGTTTAGATACTAAAACGGAATAAAAGTAATAGTTTAGGTATTAAATTTATAGTTTACCCAAGAAAAATAAATTAATCAAAGCAGTAGTTGAGTGAGCGAGTCATCAGTAACATAACTTTTTCTTTCTTTCTTTCTAGTTACCAACATCGATGCTCTGAGAAGATGCTTTGAGAATTCCCACTATATGTGTATCATCCTTAATAACGGGTTAGTGATTAAAGTGTAAGATTTTAAAATTCGATGACCATATTAAATAAATTGAAAAGTGAAGGAATTAATTGAAAGATGTTGGTGAAGAATGAATTAATAAATGAATGAAGAATAAAAGGGTAATGGGGTCATTGAACAAGGGGTAATAATTAAATAATTAAATAATAATTAATGGGTATTATAGTACCCATGTGAATCATAATTTGGGGAAACATAGTTTCTAGAATTATTTTTTTCTCTTCTTCTTATCCCAAACGTGAAGCACCCAAGCCTAAGGTAAGTTTGATTTCTTTTGGTTAATCCTTCAAATTCAAGCATGGTTTTGATTCATAAAGCTTTAGGAAACATGATGGAATGAAAAAGAGATTTAGAAACTCAAAGATTTGTAAGTTATGAAGGATTAAAGATAAGAAGTTGATAAGTTAAATTTTGAATAAAGAAGTATAAGTGAATTTAGAAGTTGAATTTGACTTGTCATAGGAATGAATAAGAAGTTACAAGTGTTAGAATTAAGTTTGGATAACATGGAAAATTTGGTAGGATTCTTAGCTTTAAGAATTTGGATGAGATATGGAAGATAATAAGGTGTGAGAATGATAGAAATTAGTTAAAATGGTTGTAGTTGAGTTTGGTGGTATGAAAGGAGCTTTGTATGAGAAAATTCAGTGAAGAGTTGATGAATTTTCGGGTGAAAAAACCTGTTTTGGGCAGAGTGTATCGGTACCCTATGTATGTGTACCGATACCCCCTTGAACGAAAAATCACAGAATGCAATAAGGGTACCGATACCCTAAGGAGGGTATCGATACCCCCTAAAGGAAATGTTAAAGTTTGGTTCATTAAATTAGTTTAAGTTATTAGTATCAAATTACAAGGTTTAGGCTTCTGATAATCATCTTGAAAATTATATTTATGTAGATATCGAGCCTAAACGAGTTCCGGAACAAGTGACAAGTAAGATTGATCGAGGGAAAAACAAGGAGACATAGGTGAGTGCATATGCATAATATGATTATAGAAATATATTCAGTTATAGACTTGTGATAAATCTAGATTTAATACTTTGATATATGATTCATTTCATATTATGAAACATGACATGAGTTCATACCATATGCATTATGTGACATGAATATGCATGAAAAGTTATATGAGCTATGTGATAAAGGTATGAAAATGATATGTCTATGAGATACACTATGTGAATTGTGAAAGCCCATGTTATGTAGATGAGAACTATAGGTATAGTTGGCATGCCAAGAGTAGAGGGTCTACGCGGTCCTTCGGGATAAATTCTACGTGGTCATTCGGGACATATATGTATTCTTTGGAACATGTATGAGGTCTTTTGAGACACCTACTTGATCCTTGGTATATGTATATGATTCTTAAGGAATTTATATGTGGTCCTTATGGACAATCTTATATGGCACTACGTTGCATTTCTACATGGTCCTTCGGGACAAATTCTACGTGGCACTTCGGTGCAAATTTATACGAGCTGCGGTGACAGCATAGTCCACAACCTCACAGTACTCACATACCTCAGGTTCTCAGTATTATATCATGGGGTAGTGAACTTATTATATGA